ACCCAGTCCTTTTATTTCACCGGGGGCACCTTTGGCCCCCACAGCAAACAACAAAATAAGCAAATGTGCACATAACCCGCAACCCAACCCAGCCCAACCCCGTGGTCTTTCTTCAGGCCTAGAGAGGAGCAACCCAGGCTCTGCGCTTCTCCCACGGCACACCAACCTCCTCTCTTCACTCCCCCTTGCTCTCGGCCTCTAAAGCTGTTGACTCTTTCTGTGGCTTCACCCGCATTTACTCATCTGCAGGTGCAGCTGGTCCCGGGTGTCTGGCCAAGCAGCCTCTTCGCTGCTGACTACCTGCAGCTGGGCCTCAGTCTTCATCTCCCTGCAGGCAGCTGCCCCTCCTGGGAGCCCCTTCCCCATAGATTATACTCGGGTGTGAGGTGAGGGCCTTATCTGGCAAAGGCAATGCACCTGTGTTGCGGGTGCCTCATGTCCAGGCAACCTCGTTTGCTCCAAGAACCAGGGGACGGGAGCGCCAGGGTCTCCTCCAGACTGGACCACAGCACCGGCTCTGCACCGCCCACCCCAGAGGTGCCAGGAGCTACCACTGCTTGACCCAGGTCCTCAGGATTTCCTCCAAGACACGGTGCCCTGCTGTGTCTGCTACCAGCAGGGTACGTATCCGGGCAGAAACAGGCCTTGGAGGGTCTCTACTGGCCCCACCAGCTCTGCAATGAGGGCAGTGGGTGCATGGGTGAGCTGGCGTGACCTGCCCCAGCCAACCCCAGCGTCCCTGAAGCAGTGAAGGGCAGGCACGCGAGGATACTGGTGCATGGGACCCAGCGCCTTAGACCAACCAGTGCATTTATGGGTCATCACTGTCATCCACTTAGCCTGGGTGGAACAAGGCTGGCCTGTCCCCATGGCCTCGTGGCAGCCTTCAGGATGCAGGGCACTGCTGAAGCATGCCTTAAGTGTGCAGTTGCTGGTTTCCAGCGATTTAAGTCTGCCCAGACGCCACGTTCTGGAAGGGAATGAGGCACGACCAGAGGACTGCAGCTCTGCAGTAGCTACGTTTTGAGGGCAGTCAATGTAGTTAAATATGCAAAGCTCCAGCTTTGTATTCCCAGCCACCTCTCTGCAAAGCGACAAGCAGCTATAGATCACATTCATGTGAAGAAGTGCAGGGAAGGGGCTCTGGTGCAGCTGTACTTAATGGTACCGTTGCACATCAATCCAGGCTGTGCCGGCGCCAACTGCACAGCTCCATCAATAACAGGGTTTTAAAGAGCCGGCGGGCAGAAACATCAGCAGTGTGCGACCAGGGGATGGTGCCCTGCCCTCCTTGTGACTGAAGCAGGCTCTCCCAGTGGCTGCAGGGACGGCATGAAGCGGCGGGAGTATCACACGCGTGACCTCACGGATGTGGGAGCAAGGGGTGCAGGATGCCCACGTGAATTGCCTGGCTGGTCAGGCATCACCTTCCTCGTGAGAAGGTTTTTCCTAATATTGAACCTAAACCTCCCTTGCTGCAGCTTGAGCCCATTGCTCCTTCTGTCACCTGCTCTCACTGAGACCAGTTCAGCTCCATCCTCTTTGCAGCCCCCCTGCAGGGAGGTGACGGCTGCTACTCAATCGCCCTTGGTCTTCTCTTCTCCAGACTAAATCAGCCCAGTTCCCTCGGCCTCTCCTCAGCAGTCCTGTGCCATGAGGAAGGGTTTCTTCCTCCCCTCTGCATTGCTAGGGCCTCCACGGGCCTCCAGTGCTGCTCCAGCTCCCAGGCTCACTGCTCCACGTTAGCACCACAGCACCGTGGACCCTTTCTTAAGAAAAGCCACATGCCTCCCCCAGAGCAGTCAGTCGTGCTCTGCTGGGATGCCACCAACCAGGGTATCAGCAGCTGCAGTCCAAGATCCCTTACCGGGTTTGAGACAGCCCATGAACACGGGTTTAACCATGTTCCCACCAGCAAGCTGCCCTGTCCTGTTGGCCTGCGCCCTGTGCAGCTCTGGAGGTCCAGGGTCCCCCACGCTCCTGTCCCCTGGCGCCGTCGAGACCTGCCGCCCCCACGGGCTGCGTGTGCCGGAGAAGAGCGTCTACCAGTGACATTCGCACCACTCGGCCCAAACTCCCAGCGCCCGCGGTCAGCTTCCTCTGCTGGTGGAGTTTCAGTCCCTTTTGCCATGCACTTCATTTGCATATGTGCAAATCACCCTATGCCAAGATGGTGCAGGCAGAGCCATGGCAAGAAGCGGCCCTGCATAGGCTTGCTCTGTAAGCTGCAAATTGGCCCCAGCGCCGCTGGCTCAGCGCCGGCTTCTCCCCTGGCAGGGGAAGCACCGTGACCATGTTGGCGGGCTCCCCAGGGCAGGTGGTTGTCCCTAATATGTCCTCCATAGGAGGTCTATATTGAGTAGATTTTTGGTGTTGGGAGGTGGAACTGGAGCTTGCTCCATCCCCTCCATGCATCGGCCTGGTATTGCAGTGCTTCCAGGAGCCGTGCAAAAAACAAACAAACAAACAACAACAACAAAAAAGACTTCTCCCCTGTCCAGACCAGGGCGATTCCCACCAGAAGCAGCTCACCGCACCCAGGATGCTGCCCATGGGCTTCGTTTTCACACACAGCATCCCCCCAGCCTGGAGGTTGTGTCGGGGATTGGCAGCAAAGAAGGAGCAGCCCAGGCCCGCGGCTCCGACTGGGGGCAGTGCGGGGGCGGGGAGGTCTGCGCACTGTGGCGGGCGGTGGTGCCCGGGTCCTGCCCAGGTCGGGCCCGGGACCCACCGCGCGGCCCAGCTCCTGCAGGTCGTGCCCTGCCTATGGCAGCTGAGCACTGCGCCATGGCGGTCAGGGGAGCTGCCACGTGCTGGGTTGGACCACGGGGCCGTCCTGCCCAGTCTCTTGTGTCACATGGGGGCAGAAAGCGGAGGCTGTAAGGGAGAGGGACTGGGTCTGAGCAGGGGTTTTCCCCTAAATCATAGAAATTCAGGGTGGAAGGGAGCTCAGGAGGTCACATCTAGTCCAACCCCCAACTACATCATCCCAGCCAGGGCTTTGTCTCCCCAGGGCTTAAACAGCTCCAAGGATGGAGATCCCACCAGCTCTCTGGGGAGCCTGTTCCTCTCTCACGTGCAGCCCCTAGCACATGAGGTCTGGGGCGTCCTGCTTCACAGCTAGTGCTCCATAGCGACAGATGCCCCGTCCCCCCCAGGATGTGTCCAGGCCCTTGGTGAATCCAGCCAAACTGTCAGCTTCCACCACGTCTGGTGGCAACGAGCCCCCACTTTAACGACGCGCTGGGGAAAGAGAACTTCCTGTTATTAATCTTGTGCCGGCTGGTTTCCTGCCGCGACCCCTCGTGCCTGTCTGGCGAGAGCCTGTCAGCCGGAACGCGCTCAGGACTTTCTTTTCCCCATTCAGTGTTTTGTAAGCCCTTCTCCGCTCCCATCCCCCCTCCAGCGTCTCCTTTCTCAACTGACCAGGCCTGTGGGGTCCCCGGGAGGCCGGGCATCGGCTTGGCGGGCTCTCGCTGGGTGCTGGACGCTCCGAGGCAGGGCTGGGCATCCGGGAGGATGCTGGTGCTGGAGCTGCAGGCATTAACACAGCTCAGCCGTATCAGCACGTGGCGCCTGGCACCCAGCAAAACCGGGCCTGTCTGCTATGGGGACATGGCTGGGCCCCAGCTCCTGCCTGCCCAGGGTGCCTCAGCCACTGGTTCAGGGCAGGGGTCCATGGGCCGTTTACAGGTTCACGGCGCCTCTCTGACGCTCTTGCTGAGACCGCTCTGGGCGTGGGAGTCAGCTCTGATGCCTCCTTGGAAAGGCTTTGGTGCCCTCATCGTGTGGATCCCAGCTCTGCCACTGATGTCCTGTGCAGCCTTGGTCATGTTACCCCAGCTGCATATCTCCATTGCCCCTGCCCCGGGGGAAGCAGGAATCCTCCGTCCCACTGGCACATTGGGGGTGTGGCAAGGAAGGGACCAGCCACGCAAAGTGCAACTGCTACCATACATGTCCCCCGGGTCTCTGCTCGCAGGCTCCCGAGGGCATGGCCCTGTGAGCCCCACAGAGCTTCTGGAGGGCGACTCGTGCTGCTTGGCCTTGGGGTGGAAGGAAATGGGGGCAGGAGCTGCAGCCCCTGCCGTAACACCCTTGGGGAGCGGGAACAAATGGCACCGGCAGCCTTTAGGTCTGTGCCACCCTTGGGTGGCTGCAGCTGGGTAGTGATGGGCTCCTTCCTGTGCTGGCTCAGCCACAGGGCCCTCTGCTCTGGGTCCCCGGCGGTGATGTGGAGGAGCCTGGGTGCCTCGCTGGCAGGTGCTGCCTGAACCTGGTTGTCGCTATTGCCACTCCAGATGCTGCAGAGCCGGGCACCAGCGCGAACAGACGAGGGACCTCCCCCAGGCAGGTTACCTGTGTGCATGCATGTGTCCACACATGCACGTGTGCGCGCTGTCTACGGCTTTCTCAGCAGCACCTGCAACAGAGTCGGCCTGATCCGGCAGTCGCTGGGGAGGTGTCGCAGCCACTTGCTCGTTTTGCACCACTGGGACCACGCGTCTGTGTGCAAGGGTGGGGGGGTCCTAAAGCCAGAACAACGGGCTCCTATCTCCCTGCAGGGACTGAGCCAGTGATCGCCGGTGCCTGTCTGCGAGCTGCCACGATGCCCCCCTTCCTGCCCCGTGGGTTGGAGGGAGCTCCCCAGGGATGCCTGTGCCCCCTCCTCCCACCCGGGCCAGGGGTTGCCAGGATGGCATCCCCTCCTTTCCTGCTGCCCGGGCCTCGCATCTGTGCAGTTCACCCCACGGGCAGCGCAGAGCTTCATCACGTCTCCATCCCGTGGCTCGACATCTTGCCCTTGGACTCCCCCTTCCTCTGGGCCGTGGAAGCCCGGAGACAGCCCCCGCATGGACGGGCACCCCAGGGCTCCCAGACCTTTCCCAGGCTGCGGCGGGGGGCACGAGGCAGGGCACAAGTGCCCAGCCCCACTGCCCTGCCGAAGGCCCGGTCAGGCTTCGGTTCCCCGCTGAAGAAACGAGACAGTGACACCAGCGTGTATGAAACCCGATTATTCAAATTTATTAACATCAAGAATTATGCAATGATGCTGTAGATTTTTTTTTTTTATTAACAAATAGAAAACAGACTGTATACAACAGTGACCCCTACAGCACTATGCATCCACAAGGTAAAAATGAATGTGCCTCCAACACCACCACCCTGGATCGCGGACCCCGCGGAGCTCGGATTCGTTACATTCGGAATACATCGGATAATACAAGTAGATACCCCTCCACCACCTGCCGGCGTAGCTCTATGCACCCGGGAGAGGGCTGCCCTCTCCCCGCCTGTAGTGCAAGCGTGATATAATAAGGAGGATTAATATATAGTACCATTAAATTAAGTCCAGTAGTCTTGCCACATTGGTTCATTAGAACGTCCTGAAGTAGCGGAAAGTACAAGATCCTAATGACTTTTAAACATTTGCAGGATAGCAGAAATGATAGATACACCCCGCCTCAGAAGCACGCCAGCTCCCTGGTCCCCGGAGCCGCCCCGTTGCGCTCCTTCCCTTTGCAAGATGCCTCGATTTGCTTCATCGGTGAGAGCTGCCTCGGCAACAGAGCAGCGCCTGCACGCACACCCGCGGAAAGGGACGTGTCTCGGCCTCGGGACCCCCATCTGGCTGCGAGGCCACCGCTCGCCCTCCAACCCCCTCCCCGGCGAGCCGAGACGATGGAGGCTGCCCAGCGTGGAGCCCGGGGCTGACAAACACAGCGACGACCACTCACGTCCTATCGGGATCTGCCGACACACACGGTCACTGCCGGGCTGGTTTCACACGCGCTTTAATAGGAGCGAATGGCTCCCGGCTTGCGACGGCCGCGCCTCCCGTGGTTCCCAGCCCCTTCCCAACTTTCAAGGGGAACACGGGTGGGGGGTGCGGGAAACGAGGCTAAAAAGTGATCGGTAGCTCAGCTCCGGTTCTCTGGATCCTCACGTCCCACAGAGGATGGAGAGGCAGCTGCTGGGGAATGAAGGTCCAGAGCTGTGAGCTGAGGAAGCTGGGCACGAAGAGGCGGCGCCATCGCTGCCAGGGGCTGGCCCACCCCGGGGAGGTACAGACGGTAAAGCAGGAGTAAATCAAAAGCCCGACAGCCTCACGGCTCCCATTCGGCCGGGGCAAAACATTAAGACTTGCAAAATAACAAAGAAAAAGGACAAGAGAAAAAAGGAAGGCGGCGAGAAAGGATTATAAAAACACTAGTAACTATCGTACATATAAAAAACGATCCCGTTCCATCCACCCAAAGCCTCGCTGTGAAATGCAACCACGTGAGAGGGGATGAGACGCGCGCGGACGGGAATTCATCCGGAGCCTGGAGACGCTGTGGGAGCCAGGGCTCCTCCTTCCGCGCTGGGGCAATGTTCCTAAATGCAGTGGTCAGAATGGGTCGGTCGTGGGGCTGCGGCCCCGCGGCAGTGCTGTCTGTGCAGGAGGGCTGAAGGATGGTGACTGTGGCTCAGAAAGACCCGTCTCCGCGCCGTGACGCTCCCGCTGCGGCTGGAGGAAAGCCCCGGTTACGTTGCATAGTGGTCGAAGCTGCCCAGGTACTCCAGCGCCGCTCGGTAGCACAGTTGGTACTGGTCCTGTAGGGCGGGACGGAGAGGGGTGAAGCAGGGTGCCAGGCGCGTGCAAGGCAGGGGTCTCAGCGTTGGCACTGAGGTCCCCCGCCACGCAGGGGCACAGCTCCCCTCACCCCCAATCTCTGTGACCTCCTCCTGCAGCAGTGTGATGGGTGGAGGAGACCGAGGAGGGGAAGGATGGCCTGGTGGTTGGAGTGACGGTGGGAGAGCTGGGCACAACCCCCTTGGCCACGCTCTCATGCTCCAAACCACGGGGAAGCAGCTCTGCCCAGGTCCCAGGGGTGCAGAGACATCACAGACAGGGGGCACGGATGAGCTGGAGGCCCGTGGAGGACGTGGGGGGTTGAGCCGTGCGGGGTACAGGAGATGTGGCTGGGGGGCGGTCTGGCACTGGGAGCTGCAGCCGCAGGGCCCCGTGTGCAGGACGTACCTCTGTCTGCACCATGGCGGGCCGCTGCGTTCGCAGGGTCTTCACGGTCTGGAACATGTCCACCACGCCCTCGTAGCGCATCCGCTCCAGCACAATGCTCAGCGTGATGAAGACCCCGGTGCGGCCGACCCCGGCGCTGCGCAGTGCGGGGGAGAGGGGCTGTTAGCCGAGCTGCGCTGCGTTCCCCGAGTGCCCCTGCAAGGCCCCCGCACCCCACGACGACAGCTCTCCTGGGAGCCACCTGCTCTGCTCCAGCCCCAAGGGGCCTGAGGCAGCCGGGTTTGTCCCAGCCGAGGGGGTGGGGATGCCTGTTCGATGGGGCCAGGAGGGGTTTGCCGGGGCAGAGGCAGGAGGCCCCCAGCGCATACTCCTCCACGTGGCACGGAGCTGGCACAGCCGTCTCATACCTCCCTCTGCAGCTTCCCAGAGGGGCCCCACGTGGCACTTCCCCCCCCCCCTTGAGCAGCGGGGGTGAGTGGAGAGCAGGGGAGGTGCCTGCGGGGGAAAGGGGCTGCGCTCGCCCCACGGGCTCTGAGACGCGGAGCAGTCCCCGTCGGTGCTCACCTGCAGTGCACCGTGATGGGCCCGTCCTGGCCAAACTGCTCCTTGGTCTTGTGCACTTGGCCGATGAAGTCGATGAAGCCCTCCCCTGTCTTTGGCACTCCCTGCTCAGGCCAGTCCGTGAACTGGAACTGGCGGATGGTCCGCGACTGGCCATCCTGCGGGCACGGGAGAGAAGGCCACGTCCATCCTCTGCTCACGCACAGCGAGGGTGGGGGGGCTCCCACGTCAGTCTCCACGCACTGCACGTGGGAGGAGGGGGCTCTGCCCAGCACTTACCCTGGCATCGGTGACCTTGAACTCGCGGAGGATGTACTGGGGCATGTTGTACTCTGCCATGGGGTCCACCACGAAGTACTGGTACCGGGCTGAGCGCTCTGCCGGCCAGTACTGATGGCACTTTTCCTGCGGGCCAGAGAGAGACCGTGGGTGAGCGCAGCCGAGCACCACTGCCCCCGTTCCCCAGGATCCTGGGCACTGGGCCCCACCAGAGAGCAGGGCCAGACCCCGGGAGATGCCTCTAGGACAGCATGAAAACAGTCATGGGACCCCAAAGGGAGGCAGCCAGCGGGGTGGGCCCGGCCCATGCGCTGGGCATCGCCAGCCCTTACCCTTCCCATCTCACGCAGCTTCGTCAGCATCACCACGATGGTGGAGTTGTGCTCCCAGAGCATCCGCCAGAAGTCCTCTGTGGTCTCCGCCAGCGGCCCCTGCGTGGCGATGTAGGCTTTCTGCTGCCTGCAACACATCAGACTATGTTCAGCCCCGTGGCAGAAAGCTCCCCAGGCAGCCTGTGGTGACTCCCAGCGCTGTGCAGGGAGCTGGGTGCTGAGCTCCCAGGCACGTGGGCAAGGGCCCGTGGCTCCGTGGCAGCCAGGATTGGCAAACAGACGCCGGGAGAAGAGGTGACTCGCAGTGGGTGACCCAGTCCCCAAGGGATGGCGTTGGAGGACAGGGGTTGTGGGAACCCACGAGCAACCCCGGCGGTGGTGGCACTGCACTCTGTCCATGCAGGGAGGCCCCGGGTCCTCTGGACGCTGCAAATGCTTCCTGTGCTCTACCAGGGCTGGCGGCTTTTCCACACCCGCCTTTGTAAAAAAACCCCAAAGCTTTCACAGGGAAAGGGAGAGCGGGGCTGGGCCCAGCCTCTGCCCTCACCCCCTCAGAGAGGGCTGCCACAGCCCGGCACAAGACCTGGCAGCATCTCCGACAGTCCCGGCAGCTGCGAGAACCTGGCGGTTTCGTGACATGAGCCTGATGCTTGGTGCTCCTCCACCCGCTGCCAGTGGGGCGACAGCCCCCACGTGGGCCGCGCCTGTCCAAAATGGGGCGATGACCCGCAGCACAGCTGCGTGCCTGGACCCCAGCTCCTGCCTCAGCTGCCGTGTGCGGCCTGGGCCAGAGACCCAGACGGCAAGTGGCAGGCGGCCGCAGGGCACGAGGAGCCCCTGGGAGTGCCCCTGCCCCCAGCATCCAGCCATCGTGCATGGATCAGGCCCTGAGCCGGGACCGGCTGTGGGCTGAGCTGTGCCCACGGGGCCCTCCCCATGGCACGTGGATGCAGCATCACCTGCGGGGCTCAGTGAGGGGGAAGGGCCAGAGCAAGACTCACGACGGGGCCTGGCGTGCCTCCTGCTGCCCCCCTCTATTGCTTAATTGCTCCAGCGGTGCTAAAAGTTAACGAACGCCTTGTAGGATGGCTGTAATGCGCAGGCCCAGGAGCACGGCAGTGCCCAGGTGGATTTACAAGGCCTCATACAAAGCCAGGTGCTGCAGGGCGGGAGGGGGCGGCACAGGAGGAAACAACAGAGCTAATACAGAGGCGCCTGTCTATCTCCTTGGACAAGTGGAAGGAGCGCTGGGCGCAGCGGACAGGATGGGACGGCCCTGGCGCAGCGTTGCTCTGAATCGGAGCAGAGACCCGACTGGAAGTGGCTCAGGCCTGCGGGAAGCCAAAAGCAGGCTGGCGGCGCTGCTGGCTCCCTCACTCCTACCCCGGGTGTCTCTGCCGCCTGGGGGAAGTTCAGGATGGCGTGGGCTGCCCCAGCATCCCCCTCGGGCATCACCTGTAGCCGTCGATGAAGCTGGCGTTGACGTAGTCGGAGCCCTCGACGCCCCGGATGGGCTGCAGGCAGACTCTCGTCAGCTCGTACGGCATGATGTTCACGAGGCGGTTCTTGAACTTGTTGCAGGGAAGGTTGGCACTGATGAAACGTGAGGTATGTGCTTTAGAGTTGGCCAGCAGCTGCAAGGAGAGCGAGCGGGTTAGGGGCACGTGCTGGAGCACACGTGGCAAGGCCGGACGTGCTATTGCAGGGGCAGGTGGCAGGCCCCATGGGGCTGTGCATGGACACTGCTCGCACCCGTTGCATGGCACAGCAGCCCACGGCGCCCACTGCCCCAGGCCATGGGGAGCAGGGAGGAGCCGCATGTGCTGCGGCCTGGCCCCGCTCTTGCACAGGCAAGCAGCTGCGAGCTGCACCTTCCCCGGCCTGTGAGGCCAGGCCCTCCGTGGGCCTCTGCTGTGAAACGGTGCATCTGTCAGCACAACACTGGTGATGAGCACCTGCTGCCCATCCCCGCATGCCAGCCGCCCCAGCATCATTCGGCACACCAGCTCCTGTGCCCACCTGCCGCCCTCCCTCATCCTCCCTCTGCGACTGGCACTGCACTGCGAACCACTGGCCCAGGAGTGGGGAGTCTGGGGTCTTTCTGCCCCTCCCCGGGAGAAGGGGGACGTTCCTGTGGTGGGATTTGGCATTGTACCATGCTGGATCTATAAGGTTGATGCCCGGAGCACCGTCAGAGGCCCCCTGGCCAGCCTGGGGTGACTCCCACGACACTGAGAAACACGGACCCGAGAAAAAGCCCTTGGCAATGCCCTCTGGTCGCTCCACCGAACAACCCCACAGCCTGTCACGTGCCCAGGGCCTGGCCTGGTTCACAAGCTCATGTCAGGCACGGACGTAGCCTGACTGCTGCAGAGCCGTGAGGTGCGGTGCATGTGTGCATTCAGCCATGAGGCATTGCCTTCAGTTACTGCCCTCTGCAAACACCCTCCCTGCCTCTAAGCAGTGGGTCCAACCCTCGGGGCAGCCTTCGGGATCTCTGCCAGCCGCAGGCACGTGTCCTCTCCCCACGGCTGGAAGTTCCTGGCCCTCCGCCTGCGGGCCACAGGGCACGGCCCCGGAGCAGGGCAGCTCTCTGACCCAGCAATCGTGAGACTCCCCGGCCGATGCGCCGTGCTGTCCTGCTCTGCAGGGAAAGGGGCTTTCTCCCACTAGGAAGGAGAAGATTCCTGGCTCCCAGCAGGATCTTGCCAGTGACTTTTGTCCCCGGAAAGTCCAAAAAGGGGCTGTAAAACTGGTGCCATTTTAGCTCCAGGAAATCTCAGTCTCTCAGAGAGGCTTCATGGCTTCCTCTGCACAGCTGGACTCACGGCAAAGGAGGCAGCACTCAGATGTGCTGCCAGACACGCAGACAACAGGCCCCTGAAAGATGCCCTGGAGCAGCCGGTCTGTACCCTGGGGCTATGGGGCAGGGGCTGTCGGGACAGCGTGATTGCCCCTTGGCAAGCAATGCTGCCAGCCCCTGCAGCACGACCGGAGCCCGCACTCCACCCCGGCTCTCCTGGGGCAGGTGCATGGACACTGCCACGGAGACCAACATCATTGGGCCACTGCAGGTCCCGAGACGCTCTCCTACAGAGTCCCCCCCCGGCTGCCTCCCGTGTGGGATCCATTTCCACAGGTCCCAGGAGCGGCCTCTCATGGCAGGTCCCCCGGAGAGCAACAGCTCCCTGGCTCCGCAGGGACCGCCCCAGCGCCCCAAGCCCAAGGCAGCGGCAGCTCAGGCGGCTGTGGAGCAGACCCATTTCTGCCTTTCCCCCTTTGAGCGGAAAGTCAATATTTTGCCTCTCCAGATCCTTTTTCACTGGGAGGAAATGCCCAGGGTGAGGCTGCAGCAGTTCATTTTGCAGTGGGTTTGCTCGGCTGCCTCCCCGCAGAAGCCGGACCCCCTTGCACACGTGTGGGTGGGACTAATGCCAGCTCCCATCGCCAAGGCTGTAGTGAACAGCTGTGCTCAGCACTGGGTCTGTTGTGCAAGACCCTGCTCCAGCAGGCCTGAGCGCAGCAGCCACCCAGCCCGGACACCCCGGGTTGGAGGAGGTAAAATCATCCCGGCACTCCTCAGCGGGGAGAGGAGGCTATAAGCATTTCGGATGCATGCACTGAAGCCGTTCCCAGACATAGTGCTTGCACTCACATCCATCGCCGCTAACGCACAGTGAACCTGGAGCGGAGGCAGAGGTCGCTGCTGAGACCCATGCCTCCAGCTGCCTTTTGCATCCTTCCCAGAAGCTGCCAAGCTGGGGAGGGCACACAGCCAACACACAATACAATACATTTGAATTGTATAGAGCAACTGCCTCCTACGTGGGTAATCATAGAAATCCCAGAGAAGCTGGGATGACAGAGACCTGCAGAGGTCACGTCTAGTGAAACCCCTGCCTGAGGCAGGATCAGCCCTGTGCAAAACAACAATCCCTCATCCAAACACTTCGTAAGACAGCTACAAACCCTGACCTAGCACAGACCTAACACCCGAACCTGCCAGGGAGAGCAGGGGGACCACAGCAGCCAATGTCCTGCTTGTATAAAAGGTTGTCAACCTATGCTCAAGCGATCCCAGGCACAGGCCATGCCCCGCTGCAGAGGAACACAACCCCCCCAGCCTGTATCGGTCTGAACATGGGGTAAAATCCCTTCCTGACCCCAAATATGGCTTTGATCTGAGTCTGAGCACACGGGCAAGACCCTCCAGCCAGGACCCTGCGGGGCTGGTACCAGCAGGAGCACTGGCACAGCCCAGCCCCAACCCCAGCCTGGGCTGCAGCACCCAGCGCCTCGGGGGGAGGCTTAAACCCCCTGACACATGGAGCAGAAATGCAGGGCACGGGGGGTTTAGAAATTTGTCAAAGGATAATGAGACCTGCCGTGCTCTGCAGCGCTGCTGACAGCCCCGCAGCTGGCTGCTCGTGGCTCTGGGGGGATGCAGAGAGGCCCCAGTGCCGCGGGCCCCCCCGGGGTGGCAGCACGCTCTGGCTCACCTTGAATTCCAGCTCCATCGCGGTGACGCTCTCGCCCGGCGGGACCTGGGTCAGCTTCTGGATGTGAGCGAAGAGGTTGCGGGCGGGCACCTCGGTGTTGCCACAGGTGGCTGCCTCCAGCAAGGCCTCGTGGATGAAGATGTACTGGTCCTCGGTCTGCACCATGTAGTTCCGCTGCGAGCGCATGCACGTCACGTGGCCGTAGATGTCGACTGTCTTCTCGTGCTTCATCCGCTCCAGCATGGCGTCGATGACGATGAAGCACCCTGTCCTGCCCACGCCAGCACTGCCGGAGTAGAGCGCACAACTGAGCTAGCCCCGGCCCCCGAGACCTCCCCCACCGCCCAGCTGCATTAAGCTGGAAGAGGAAGGTGGTCCCTCCCCACCCCAAGGTGCTGGCTGTCTGAGCAGAATGGGAGACAGGACGGGGGAGCACAAAGCCACCTCACAGCCCTCTTGGGTCTCCAGCATTTCCTCCCACCCACCCAGCAGGAGGGACCCTGGCTGGCCCGCCACCACCCCGAGAAGTGGCCAGGAGAGAGGGAGGAAGGATGGACTTGTAAGCAAGGACAGGGCGTGGGGCGAGATGGTCGGGAGACCTGGAGTCTGCTCCTGGCTTGGACTCGCTGCGTCCCCCTTGGTGAGGACATGCCAGACGGGAGGGAAGGGAGGGCACCTGGCAGTTCACACTTCACCCTGAGCTTGTCACCACGTGTGTTCGTGGCTTCTGGGAGCTCTCAGCCCAGAGCGGTCCCTGCACCTTGTGGCAGCCATGGACGGCGGCTCTCCCTACCTGCTGGCCTGCCCCCAGCCATCAGCAGGCATGGCCTTGGGGGGGCTCTGACCCAGGAAAGCCGTTAACCCAACCTTGCTGTGGCTCGTTTGGTATTAGCTACACCCGCTCCCCGCAGAAACGGAGCATGGCGAGACAAAGGTAAACGCTGCACGAGGCAGCAGCAGCAGCAGCGAGGGCGGCTGGTGAGCGGCTGGCTCGGTAGTGGTCCCGCTCTGCCGGCCCATGTACGATGGACACTGAAGCTTGGGTGTGAGGTGGGATGGGAGCAGGCTCCTATTAACAGCTCTGAAGTGTGTGAGGACACTGCTGCACTGGGGCGCGTCCAGGCCGTGTCTGCACAGGTGCGTCCACGTGGGAAGCCCGGCTGCAGGGCAGCCACGCTCTGTGTTTATGCTGGGCACGTAGTGTTTCGGGGCAGCGCTGAATCCTCAGCCCCTCTGTCCCGAATGGCGATGAGCCATACCAGTGTTACTAGCAGCACTGCCAGCGGATGGAGGGCAATTATTCTTCCCCTCTATTCAGCACTGGGGAGGCCACATCTGGAGTCCTGTGTCCAGCTGTGGGCCACCCACTACAGAAAGGATGTGGACACATTGGAGAGAGTCCAGCAGAGGGCAAGGAAAATGGTTGGGGGCTGCGAGACAGGACTGGTGAGGAGAGGAGGAGGGGTCTGGGCTGATTCAGTCTGCAGAAGAGAAGACCGAGGGGGACTGAAGAGCAGCCTTCACCTCCCTGCAGGGGGGCTGCAAAGAGGATGGAGCTGGGCTGGTCTCAGTGGGGGCAGACGACAGGACAAGGAGCAATGGGCTCATGTTGCAGCAAGGGAAATTTAGGTTGGATATTAGGGAAAACTCTTATGAGGAGGGTGGTGAAGCACTGGAACAGGCTCCCCAGAGAGGTGGAGGAGTCTCCATCCTTGGAGGTGTTTAAGATCCGGGTAGACAAAGCCTTGGCTGGGATGATGTAGTTGGGGCTGGTCCTGCTTCGAGCAGTGGGTTGGACTAGATGTGACCCCCTGAGGTCCCTTCCAGCCCTCGTTTTCTGATCCTATGATCTGACTGTACAAACCGTGCCCCTGTGGCAGCCGCAGGCCCCGGTCTGTTCCCAGCCCAGGCCGGGCTGGAGACACGGCCGCAGGTGCAGAGCTCAGCAGGCAGAAAGCGGTGTGTTGCTGCTAAGACATTCCCGTTAGCCGGGCAGCCCAGGGCGCTGGCCACTCACCCGAGCCCACCCCTCGGCAGCCTTACAGAACAGGCCCACTCCCCCCGCGAGCCTCTCACCTGCAGTGGACGACCATGGGCCCGGCGTCAGGCGGGTTGCAGGCCTTCACCCGCCGCAGGAAGGCCAGGATGGGCGTGGGGTACTCCGGCACCCCGTGGTCGGGCCAGGCCATGAACTGGAACTGCCGCAATTCTCGCTTCTCGCTGGAGCCGTTCTGCCAAGGAAACCCATGGGCACACGCCGCTCAGTACGAGGCCCATCTCCCCACAGCAGCTCACAGGGGAGGGCCGGGCTGGGCTGGGGGTGGAACTGCACACGTGCTCCCTGGGGCATCTGCCCCTGCAGCCGAAGTGTAAGCCCTTTGCCCCATGGTTACACCCTCCAGGTCCCAGGAGTGCAGGGCACAGCGGCTTGAACCCATCCGCAGCAGCGCATAATGCATTATGAACCCTGGATCGTGGCATGGCCAAGAGGACAACCGATGTGTGCATACCGGCCAGAAATGCCCAGGCGTGCCCGCAGGCCCCTGGGGTGTGAATACCTGCCGCAAAGGGCAGGTGTTCCCGCCAGCATCCGTGGTTGTGACCCTTGCACAGGACCCGCTGCTACTGGAGAATATGGAAACAGGCTGCAGGGCTTGACGCCTGCCTGTGCCAGGCAAGGGCTCCTGTCCTGGGTGCCGTGCCAGCCTGGGCCGCTCTGACAGCGGCTGGTGCAGGGAGAGGACAGCAGGGTCCCCTGCCAGGCACCCAGGGCACAGGAGGCATGGGCCAGGGCAAGAGCAGCTGGAGCTGGTCCTTACCTTGTACAGGGCAAAGGTCCGGACCATGTAGGTCGCCAGCTCGACCGTGTCCAGCAGCGTCACCTGGATCATCCCGTAGGTTTCGGTGCCTCGGCTTGGCCAGTACTGGTCACACTTCACCTGCAGGACAGGAGAGAAGGCAGGGTCAGGGTCTGGCCCTTTTGGCTGGGACAGCGGGGCTGTGCCACAGTGGAGCTGCCTGGCCCTGCCCGGTCTAACAGGCACCACGTGCAGGGGCCAGCAATCGGCAGGCCTCACTGGGGTGCACCCCTCCGGCAGGCTGCAGCACCAGCTCCCCTGTCCCCCAGACTCGGGTGCTGCTCGCTGCTGTCTCCAGCCCTGGACGGCCTGTGCAGCGTGGCCCCAGGCGCCTCCGCCGCGCCGGCAGCAGCGAGACTGCGTCCCCAGCCGTGCGAGCCGCGCGGGGGATGGCGCCCGCCCCGGGGGAGCGGATGAATGGGAGATCGTTGGCGCTTGTCATGAAATAGTAAACTTAATTATCAGCTGCATGTGTTTACAGGGGGCGCGTGGGAAGTGAGACAACAGGCTTAATTAGAAATCAATGGAGTTCAGCCTTTTAATTGAAGCCATTTGCAATGGGGGGAGGGGCAGGGGGCCTCAACAGAGCAAGCAACGCAGGGTGGCTGCAGCCTGCTTCCTTCTGCTCACGGGGGGGGGGCTCGTCTGCCGTGGTCAGGATTGGACCCCCCGAGATCCGAGCGCCTGCAGGGGTGCAGCTGGGAGCACCAGCGCACGCGGGACCCCAGCGCAGCACGTGCCCAGTACGGACGTGAGGCTTCACGTGCCGCCAGGAGCAAGGGCCGGTCCCGGGGCTCGGACAGCTGGCTGCAGCAGGGCCATAGCGGGCGCAGACCTGCCTTCACCGCGAACCTCGGTCCTCACCGGTGAGCGGCAGCTGCAGCCGGGCCCTTCACCAGCCGCCGAGCCCCGAGTCCCTCCTGCTCAGGGAAAGCAAACCTGGCGTGGAAGGGGCCAGATTCCCCGTGAACCCCAGGGGCGTGCGTCTGCGGGTCTCCTCCCTGCCGGCCTGCCATCTCGCTGGACGCGGAGAGACAGCACCACCGCTGACGGGGCCAGAGCCTGGGTTGTTTGCACAGCGGCCATGGGAGGCCAGCTCCCTGCCCCCGAGGCGTGTGGTTTGCACAAGCGCGGACCTGAGCTCGGGAGCGCTCCCTGTGTGGGAGAGGAGCGGCGCTCGGGCTCGTAATTGAAAATTATTTATTCATGACCAGATAAGAGTCAGGCACATTTTCTGCCAAATTTACCCATAACGTTTATGCTCCATTTTCAAGCTCTGTAAATTTTACGTGGGAGCCGACGCATGGTGGCACTAAAGCAGATGAGGGACGGTGTCCTCTGGCACCGCGCGCTTCTCACGAATGTCAGGAACGTGCCCAGGCCCTGCTGGCACGTCCCTCTGGACCCCCGCCGCGGGCGCCCAGCTCCGCTCTGTGCTCTCTGCACGCCTGTGTGGTGAGCTTCCCCTGCCTGCTTTGCTCGCGAGGTCCCGGGGGCGGACGGAGGTGCTGACCAGGTACGTCCCCACCTCTGCGCCAGGGCCCGAGGTCTGCGGCAGGGCAAGCAGTGATGCCCACTGGATTCATAGTTTCATAGTTGGTCGGGTCGGAAGGGACCTGAGCAGATCATTGAGTCTGACTGCCTGCCATGGCAGGAAAGAGTACTGGGGTCAAATGACCCCGGCA